TGGCGAAGGTCCGCATCGCGCTTGACGTTATTCGAGGGGTCGACTACCTGCACAAAAAGAAGATTGTGTACTGCGATCTCAAGTCCGAAAACGTCCTTGTCAGCGACGATGGCCACGCCAAGCTCGCCGACTTTGGCATTAGCCAGCAGACCACGCGTCGCGGCGATGCGAAACAACAAGGCACACCGCAGTACATGGCGCCCGAGCTCACGGGCTCCGCAGCCGCCGCGCCGACTTATGCCTCGGACGTCTATGCATTTGGCATTCTTCTCACAGAGCTCGATGCCAACACGGGCATGGTGCCGTACGAGACGATTGATTACAACAACAACCACTTTGCGCTATGGAAAGAAGTCCGATCCGGTCTGCGTCCCGCGCTTCGTGACGATTGCCCTCTTTGGTTCCGCGAGCTGGCGGTCCAGTGCATGGCGACGGTCCCGAGCGACCGCCCTTCTGTGTCGACGATCATCGACATTTTGGATAAGAACTTGCGCGACATGTAGAATCACAATCTAGTTTTACCAGTAATACTGTCGTCAATTCTTAGTGTATACATCCGATATTTTTGACTTGGAGTTTTGCAATGGTCAAACTTGTCGTAACCAGAGGGTTGCCTCGTCAAGGGTGGCAAAAATGATGGCCACTTGTAACAGTCAATCAGAAAGTGGGGCTCTCTCCGGGATTTGAGCCCGGATATACCAGTTGGTAAACCAGTGGCTTCGCCGCTAGACTTAATTAGACTTGAAGAAGCCGCCAAGAAGCACGCCCTCTTGGCTGTTTCTGCGCGCCACACTGGAGTACCAATGCCGCGCACGTCCTGTGATCGTTTGCAGATCCGAGTTTCGATGAGTGGGGTGACAACCCACTCCATGATGAGGCGACACACACAATTGAGCTCAATCCTCCAACGAAATTATCGAGTAAGAAAGAGCTTGATGCAAAGCACATTGGTCCGTTGAATTTTTCCAAAAAATTGCTAAAAGAAGGGCTTGATACCAAAGCTCTTCACGTTTGTAGGTTGAAGCTCAGGTTGAAGTTTAGTTGATATTTTTTGTCACGAGTTCACAGAGCATCACTCCTTTTTCAATGTTTGCATTTTGGCATTTTTTGCATTCGAAGCAGTTCGAAATGCACCCTTCTTTCAAGGTACAGTGCGAACCCAAGCTGCTAAAACACGTGAGCAGCAAGCAGGACACCAGCCGCCACCTCGATAAGTCATCATCGACCGACACTACTTGCTCGGTGCGATTTCAAGCACCGAACGAATTTGG